AGACTTGTCATCTGCTGAAATAAAAATACTAAGGTTAGAGCAGTTTGGGACATCAGGTGGGTGAAGAGCTGGAATTCAGCTTTGGAAATGTTGAATTTAAGGTATCTATTAGAAGATATCTAATAGAAGACAGGTACCCGGCCACCCAACCTGATGAGGTCCGTATTTGTGCCCATTCCAAAGAAAGGTGATCCAACAGAATGTGGAAATTATTGAATAATATTATTAATATAACATGCAAGTAAAATTTGGCTGAAGATCATTCAAAAATGGTTGCAGCAGTACATCAATAGGGAATTGCTAGAAATTCAAGCTGGATTCAGAGGAGAACATGGAATGAGGGATATCATTGCTGATTTCAGATGGACCTTGGCTGAAAGCAAAGACTACCAGAAAAATGTTTACCTGTGTTTTATTGACTATGCAAAGGCATACTGTGTGGATCATCCACTGTGAGGATTATAACAAATTATGGATAATGTTGCAAAGACTGAGAATTTCAGAATACTTAATTGTGCTCATGTGGAACCTGTACATAGACCAAGAGGCAGTCGTTCGAACACAACAAGGGGATACTGCATAGTTTTAAATCAGGAAAGGTGTGCATCAGGGTTGTATCCTTTCACCATACTTATTCAATTAGTATGCTGGGCAAATAATCCAAGAAGTTGGACTATATGAAGAACACGGCATCAGGATTGGAGGAAGACTCATTAACAACCTGCGATATGCAGATGACACAACTTTGCTTGTTGAAAGTGAAGAGGACTTGAAGCACTTAGTAATGAATATCAAAGACTGCAGACTTCAGTATGGATTACACCTCAGCATAAAGAAAACAAAAATTCTCACAACTGGACCAGTAAGCAATATCATGATAAATGGAAAAAAATATTGAACTTGTCAAGAATTACATTTTACTTGGATCCACAATCAACACCCATGGAAGCAGCAGTCAAGAAATCAAGCAACCTACTGCATTGGGCAAATCTGCTGCAAAGGACCTTTTCAAAGTGGTAAAAAGCAAATATGTCACCTTGAGGACTAAGGTGCGACTGACCCAAGCCATGGTATTTTCAATCGCCTCATGTACATGTGAAAGCTGGACAATGAATAAGGAAGACTGAAGAAGAATTGATGCCTTTGAATTATGGTTTTGACAAAGAATACTGAATATACAGTGGACTGCCAGAAGAAGAAACAAATCTGTCTTGGAAGAAGTACAGCCAGTGTGCTCCTTACAAGCAGGGATGGCAAGACTTCGTCTCACGTACTTTGGACATCTTATTAGGAGGGACCAGTCCCTGGTGAATTACATCACGCTTGGTGAAGTAGAGGGTCAGCAAAAAAGAGGAAGACCCTCAACGAGATAGGTTGACACAGTGGCTGCAAAAATGGGTTCAAACATAGCAATGATTGTGAGAATGGTGCAGGACAGAGCAGTGTTTCATTCTGTTGTATGTATGGTCACTATGAGTCAAAACCAACTCAATGGCACCTAACAACAACAACATTAGACATTCAAATAAATATGTCTAATAGGCTGTTGAATATTCAAATGTGGAGATTAGGTGACAGGCCTGGGCTAGTAATTTTAATCCAGAATTCTTCAATGAACAGATGATATTTAATAACATGAGACTGGGTAAGATCACCAATGAAGCAAACACTGATGGACAAGAGAACAAGACTAAGCTCCAGGTACTCCAAGACTCTATCATTATCCTTAGTTTTATTTCAAACACATAGTTGGCTATAAATATAAAAAAAAAAAGATGAAGGTAATAGATGCTAGGAATATTCTTTTGGAAAGGCTAAAAAAAAATTTTCCTTTCCAGCTAGGAATATAATAAAAGTGGGTAATGAAGTCATAAATGAAACTAGAAACACTTTTTATAAGGGAGAATAAAAAGATCAAAAAAAGATGGCAGATGTCTGTTACTACTGTCATGGCTGATGGCTACCTTTCCGGAATTTCCAGATCACCACTAATGTGTAACCCATTCATTTAGAATCAAAATACCTAAGAAGACAATCTAACTGAAGAGATGTTTATCACAGTAAAGTTTAGCTTAACAAATACAGTTGATCACCGGCTGTGTGCCTTCAATAATATTAGAATCATCTTTTGATTTCTCTCATACCCTTTAGTCAATCGGTCGGGAAATCCCATTGACTCTTCAAATCCAGAATCCTACCACTTTTTGCTTCCTCCACGGTTAGTTCCCTGGTTCTAGCAATATCATTAATCACCTGTATTACTAAAATCCATAAGGTGCAGGACCAGGCAATTTTTCATTCTGTTATGCATAAGGTTAACATGACTCAGAGCTGATTGAATTGAAACTAACAACATTAATAACCTCCTAACTAGCCTCCCTGATTTTATCTTTGCCCATCACCCTACAGCCTCTTCTCAATACCCCAGACAGAAAAAGCTTCTTAAAACTAAACTACATCATGTTACTCCATTGCCTAAGAACTTACAATGGTTTCTCATCTTATTCAAAGAAAAACTCAAAGTCCTTACAAAGTCAAATCCTATATGGTCTGGCCCTCTGTTATGTCTCTGACCCACTTTACCCTTCACTTCATCTGCTCCCCCACCCCCCACCCCATTCCAAGGCGTTGGTCCTTTTGTTCTTCTGTTAAAACATCAAGAAGTGTCTTATTTTAGGATCACAGCCCTAGCTGTTCTCTCTGCCCGCAAACTGTGCCCCAGATACCCACATGGCTATTATCCTTCTCTTTCACACCCTTGCTCAAATGTCTACTCCAACCACCATGTTTAATACTACATGCTGCCCCCTCTTACCCAGTCTACTTTTTCTTTTATCCATCTCACATATCACCTTTTACTATATTAGATTGTTTATGTATTAGTTAATTAATTTTGATGATCAGGTATTGTCAGTCTCCCCATTTGGACTATAAGCTAATGGGCAGAGTTTTTGTGTGGTTTGTTCTCTGAGGAATCCCAAGTTCCTAGAACATACCAGACACTCAATATATCTTTGCTGAAGGGATGAATTATAGAATGGAAGAAAGGAAACAAATTCCCATGGATTTAGTGCATGTCATTCAGTGTACAGGAATTTTGTGTTCTCCCAGGAACTCTGATACCCCTAAAAATTTGGAATCATTATTTCCATTTTGCAGAAAACTGAGGTTGAAGATGGACATATCGGTGCTCATGGTCACACAGTAAGTAGTAGGAAGTAAGGCTCAATCCCTGTTCTTTCTGTAAAACCCGTGCTTTTTCCTTGGCATAATGCTGTAGGCAGTAAAGAAGTGACCATGAACTGCTGGATTCATTCTGCAAGGATCTCTAAAATGCAGTGCAAGATTTTGTGTACTGGCTCCTTTCCAAGAATAAGTGGACTTGATAAAATTGTTTCAGTTAATGCTGAAAATAACAATATTTTTTAAATGAGATTCAGGACTTATACACCGATAAATTGTAAAATGCCTACACATTCTTCCAATTCCTCAATTCTCATTAATTTGTAAATTTGTTTTTCCCACCAGATGAGCCAGAAAGATGACATATTTTTACAGGCAAATGCCATTTGCTCCAGAAAACAAACCAATAAAGTGCCAAAAAGCTCTCTCAATGGAACTTCTCTAAACAGGCCCTAAAAAAACAAACATAAACCAATGTTCATCTTGCCAGCAACCAAACATGCAATGAAAAATGTGCATTATGTTCTTCTTCACCATGATAAATCTATAGTCTGGCCAAAGCAATGTCATTGTGGTCAAAAATTACTCTAATATAACCAGACTAAAGAAAATGATGTGGTTTCATTGATTTCAGTTTTTGATAAACATAGCTTACCCCAAATAAATTATTATGTTTTCCCCCAAGAACATAAGACATTATAACACAGTGCTAACCATCACATTATCTAACCCACTTGGAAAGTGCTTCATAAAGCATTGGTGTACTATATGAGTAATATGAAGCCGATGAATGTCTCCTATCTTGACACCTCTTAAAAATCACATTAACTAGAGTGAAAATTTCATAGAGCATTATGTGCTGCCATGTACTTACAAACAATTTAAGGCAATATAATACCATTTACTTGGTGCTGTGTATATATAAATGGGCAGAAAGACAAAACAGATCTGGCTTTTCCCCCGGAAGAACATGAGATAATCTAATAATTATTAAACACATAGGCCATTTAGCAGACGTTGAGTCACTGCTTTTTATGTATATACTTCTCTTTTTCCCCATTTTCAAACTTCATAATTATTAAGGCACTGCTCCAATCATGTCATTTTATACAATATTCACTCTAATCTTGAGATGTAGGCAAGCAGTTACTATCATCTTACCTCCTAAAGCTTTTACTGATTACCCATTTGAACTCTTAGCAGTAACTCCCAGAAATATAACTGTCTTACAGTACAATATTACTAGGCTGTAAAGTTAGTCCTCTGCATATCTGGTTTCCTCATTTTGGCTGTTTGCTTTACATTTCTTCTTTTTTTTTTTTCATGTCTATGTTTCTCCTCCTATGGTTCCCTTCAGTTCAAATGCTCTTCATTCCAACCCTTCCTCAGTTCCCTTAACTGAAAATGGATAAAATTATAATTCCTACCTTATAGGAATGTTGCTGGTATTAAATAAGGCAATACCTGTATAGTGCTTAGCACAATGCCTAGCAGAGCAGAGTTTCAGAATAAGCACTTGAGAAATACGCTATTTTAAAGGAATAAGCTATTGCCTTTGGGTCACCATGGTGCTTGCCCAGTGCACTGGAATAGGTGCTCAGTAATGCACATTAAACTAATGGAGTAAAATGCTATAGTTGTGCTACATGAAAAAGTTTCAATCTCTTTAATGGGTGGAACAAGGGCATTAATCTTTCCCCTGGTCTTTATTCTTACATGCGTGGTTTATGCTCTCATATTTTCTTTATATAATGAACATGAGAATTTTAGTTAAGTAAGTATATACCAGTAGTTGGGGAGTACTTCCAATATTATGATGATAATTAAAATTCAGAAACTAATATGTTTGAGAAGAGAAATAGGAGGTAAAATCCATGGCAGAGTATGCATTGGATTTTGCAATCAGCCTTAGGAAAGGTGATGTAAAACTAGGCTTTAAAGCGGTCCTGGCATGTCTCCAAGATAAGAAAAAATCCAGATTGTGTAACAGGGTTGGTAGAGGCACAAAAGGAATACAGTAAGGCAAGGAATCCAGAAAGTGGTTACAAAAACTCTGGGTCATGAAATCAGGCAGCTTTTGAATATTTGGAAGGACAACAAGCCATGGGGAGAAAATGCTTTTTACTATACAGATAATTTGCTAAAAAGCAATTTTATAAGAGTTCGACTAAAACTGCAGAAAAGAGGTCCTGAAAGTATCTGGAAAGCCAGGGAAGGCAAATAGAAATTTATTGGACAAAACTCATTACAGCTAAGTTACTATGTGTAAAATGCTGCTGATAATCTTTTGGTTTTAAAGTGATGTCTTCCATGTTTTATTTTAGTAAAATACAAAAACATAGTTGTCGGCATTTTATAGACTCAGTCCTGAGAAATTTCTTCACTGACCCTTTTCGGGCAATTGGTCTTTAATTTTTCAAATACGAATTCTTCCACAATAGTTTCTCTAGATCATAGCCCCCGTTAAAGGGAAGGAAATTCTGTATTATTCACATTTGATGTATGGAAAAATTGAGACACAAATAAATAGGGTAAAAGCTCTCATATTCATATGAACAAGCTGAAAATAAAGCACATAGCCCCTGATTCTTCATTTGTCCTGTTCATCATTATTAAAATCACTCATTCATGCTTCACCTGATTAACTGCCTGCTGTGTGCCAGGTACTGTGCTTGATACTAAAAATACGGCAATACACAAAGAAATGGTGTCTCCCTCTCAAGTTGCTCACAGTCAAATTCCACAGTCACCGTAGAAGAGCCAAATAAACTCACAATTAGCATAAAGCCCTATTGCCATGATAGGCACAGGCCCAGGGATCTGTCTGACACACAACCACACAGGAGCAGCCTGCCAGGCAGGCTCGGGGAGCAAAAAAGTCACGCTTAAAGATTTGACATCTGCAGAACAGAAGAATACGGACTTGCTAGCTAATGAGGAAGGATTGAGGAAAGGTAGAAAGGAAGCAAAGTATTCCAGCCAGCCTTTTTTATCATTTAAACTCGTGCACTGTGTTTTCCGTGTCTTTCTCATCTGCAGTATGACCGGAAGTCATATTTTTCAGAGCCGTTCCCTATAAATGTGCATCTCTGACGATCCTTCCCCTTAGCACTCTGCAGTACTATTAAATCATTCTTTATGCCTTAATTATAAATAAATCTTGGATACAATTTCAAATTCCGTATAAAATTTAGCCAGTAAAGAATAACAAAAATTTGAAAATAAATAAAAACTAGACCCCTGAGTTTCCAGCTCTTTGAAGGAATTTTGCTAAGGGAATTGAAAACAAAAATATGTAATAAACCTTGGAGGGCGTGAAATAGGCTGGGTTTGATGATGACTGGATGGCTGTGAGTCACCTCTGTGGCAAAAGCAGGAATGTCCCATAATCAATTCTTGTTCTTTTGTGCTGTGGGTGTTCAGAAAATTTTCTACACTTGAAAATTTTAGGGACATAAAAACAACAAATGACCAGTCAGTGTCTCTGGCCAGCAACCCTTAGGACACATAAAACAGCATAAGAATTGGGTTCAAGAGTCTGAACCAATGAGATGTCTCAGGAGGAAGTGTGGATTAAGAATTAAGAATGTTGTTGTTGCTGGGTGCCATTGAGTCGATTCTGACTTAGAGACCCCATACTTATACCACCACTAATCCCACTTCGCCCATGGTGGACACTGCTGATTAGTCATGAATGTCTTTCCTACTAGGCCTCCATGTAGCCTCAGGACCTCTTTCAGAGTGGTACCTAACCTGTTTGCCTGCCCTGATGCAGCAGAAAGAAGCGTAAGCAGACCAGGTTCCAGTCTCAATCCCACCAAGTTAACATGTTTTACTAAACTTTAGTCTGCCCCATCTGTAAAACTGAGACAATGATACCAATCTCACTTGCTTATTATGAAGATTACATAAAATTTCTGGGATAGCATCTGGCATATAGTACACATTCAATAAGTGTTAGTTTCTCCTTCTTTTTATACTGGCATAAGCAGGAGTAAGGCAGCTCCCCACTGAGGCAGTTACCAATAAAAATTACCTAACAGGTAGGAGGTGTAAGCCCACCCAGAGGTGCCTCAGAAGAAAATTCTGGCAATCTACTTCAGAAAAATCAGCCATTGAAAACTCTACAGAGCACACCTCTACTCTTACACACATGGGGTCACCGTGAGCCGGAATCAACTTGACGGCAATTGGTTTCTGGTTAACATATTGGATAGACATTAAACTTTTATTTGAAGGAATGATACAGTGTGTTTTGTTTCATGCTAAGGTAATGGTAAAAATCAACCAACTCTAGAATATGCCTTCCCTGCATATACATTTGGGGGCTATCTTCTGGCCTAAAGTAAAAAATGTTTTAATGAACAGCCTTGCTGGGAACAGTGAATCTGAACTTCATAGTTAGATGGCACTTGTTAAGCATGACTTGTGTTCGTTGCATCCCTCTTTCCTTTATGCATATCAGACCAGTGAATTACCCCAAATCAGATTAATCAATGAATCCTAAAGCATTTATCAAATGCCTAGTAAGTACCAGGAATATTTCTAATATGAAACATGTCACACTTCTAGGCAGAAAGAAGCAATGGAGCTGCTTACCTAGTTTTGCCCCCTCTGGGTACCAAAATCTTGACTCTAAAACTCAAGCGGAGTTTGACTTTTAGACTTTTTTATATAACGTGGGCTTCCTATATACAACAAAAAGGTGTGTTGAGAATGACTGGACTCACACACAAGAATGAAAATTACATACTTTGATTACATAGTTAATATATTAATTTTGTAAATTGCTACGCCAACCATATGTGTGATCCATTTGTGACAAAAAGAGACAAAGTCCCTAACATCAGGATGCTTATAGTCAAGTAGAGAAGACAGACCTTAACCCCATGATTACACACACACACACAATTATGATTATACAAAGTGCTACAAAGAAGAATAAGGTACCTAAATATAACACACACACACACACACACACACACAACACACACACACGACACTTCCAATTCTTCCAAACTATGGAAG